GTAAATTTCTCTTGTCATGGTTATCTACATTTTATGTATAATCGTAAAATATTACTGTTCAAAAGAGACTCAAATAAGATCTCAACGTCAATATGGCACTTGATTTGTTTTCGAATAGTAAATGAATAAAAATATGTTTAATACATTTTGCTTATAACAAAGTTTTAATTTAATCGGTTCAAACAGCGAGTTTTGGAATAAGTGTTGAATGATGATAAGAATCAAGAGAAATTTAATAAAATTAGAATATATCTACTTTTAAGTCTAGTTTTAAATTTGTATTACTAGAAAAGAATAATGCTGTTCTTATTCTTGTGTGTTTGATTATATGGATGCTACTGAAGGGCATAGCTATAGTTGTTGTTAACTGCTGGTTGATAGATTGATCTTTTCGTCAATCACACCCATCCTTATTGCAAAGATTATCATTAGGACAAATACAATTTACGAACAAAATATCTTTGAAAATTATCAACTAATAGAAACAATGAATAACAATATTTCATTGCTCACACACTGTAAATTGATTCATGTAGTTAATCAAATTTCTATCTATCTGAATTCAAGTACAGTATCATTTGCAATATCTATGAATACAATCCATATCTGAATGCCATTTTGTTAAATTCTTTGATTGTGTTCGTGCACCTATTACCTTTTTTTGCAATGTTATACACTATTTGGATGTCAAATTTTGTCTTTTTCTATTTATTTGTCGATATTATATATAATCTTTACGCTAGCATTTGTTCTACTTCATTGGTTTTTATCAGTTTCATTTCGGCATCATGTCTACGTAATCTCAGCCAGGTACGTACACAAACAAACTCATTGGTATTGTAGAAATTTTAGACGTTTTGTATATTCAAACCATCATCAATTATCTTCTACTTGGGCTATATGGCTAAGTAAGTGATACTTACAATTTTCAAGCACAATGATAAGCAAACCAATTCTAATATCATAAAATCAAAATAAGAATTTAGTACAAGCAAACAAAAGTCGCTGGTTTATTCTACTGTTAGCTCATAATTCATATAGTTTAATACAATAAAAGAAAATGTAAATACACAAATAATGTTCTTTTTTTTAATATATTGCTCATGACAGTAACACATACAATTATTGTCTTCGTCCTTTCTCTTCACCATTGTGAATCATTCCTTCACAACCGACCATGCTACCTATTTTCTTCTCTGTGGTACCACTGATAAATGAAGAGTCACTTGGTCCTTGATTCGCTGCTCTCATTTTTTCAGTTGCTTCGTGTTTATCATGTGCACCCGAATCTTTCCAAGCTTGACTACCAGTTATACTACCAATTGTTTCTTCAACTGCTCCTTTCACATATTGAGCATGTCCACCTAAAAAACTTGCGTTATTGTTGTCAGTCATTATTAATATGTAACTTAACGTCGATAGTGTATGTAGTAAAAGTTAAAATGTTAGAGTGAAGATGCAAACAGTATGAGATGAGAGAAAAATAGCGTGTAAGGGTGCACACAGTAAAAAACAGAACGAAAAAAACAGAATGAAAAAAAAAACGCCGGTATATTGGTTTGATGTCGAGGCAGGAAGAAGAAAAAAACACATTATGTGTTGTATAGAACGTTCTAAGACATCACGTTGTAAGCCAAAAAAAGATGTGCATTTCTCTTTTCCATTACATAAGAATAGAAATTGCACTGGTTGTAACAATCATCGTCAATATGTTGGTTCGCACGTGTTCAGGCACGTGTGAACATCTCTTTGTAAAAATATGAGAGTTATTCGGAGAAATAGTGGTTCTCAGTAGATATCAGTTGCCAGTACATTTCTATACGTTCACGAAATCCTCAGTGTATAGAACATAGTCAACTTATCTCACGAAAAATCGATATCAACAAGATATTCAAGGACAAATATTTGTAAGAAGTTCTGTGTATTCTTCTTTGAATAATATTTTATGACAAAATTACAAAAACTGTCATAGTATGATCGTGTTCAAAATTCTTCATAACAATTTATTGTTACTATTCAAAATAAATTATCTTCTCCGAACTCAATAGAAAAAAATGCACGCGAAGTTTTTTTTTTCTTTTGCTTTGTTGCTCTTGAAATTACTTTCGCGTATGTACGAAGTTATGATTTAACATATATGGCGTATTTAAAAAACAATACTTAAATCACGTCATATAATTATAAAACACATGTAGATCCTCAATTATCAATGACCGCAGCTGAAGTAACAATAGGTCATATAGTCGAAAGTACTACATGAATATGCCTGTGAACTGAAGAACATATCTCTGTCTATATCTACTAAAATAAGTTTCTGTTTGACACACAAATGGTATTTTCAGTATTTTGTAGATCGATCTAAAGGTGTTGGAGACATATACGATAGTTCAATTGACTATACCCTAAATGACAGAAAGACCGAGAATCATCAGATGTTAGTACATTCTGTGAATCGATTTTCATTAAAAAGTACCCGGAATGCTATTATCTAAATGTCAATTGAATGCGAATTTGAACATTTCATAATAGTATCTTTTATATGTTCGTTATGAATTCGTTATTTCATTAAGTGACTGTCTGTGGAAACTACTTGAAATCATGTTTACAATGTGAAAATGAAACTAGAAACGTCTATTCTTCACAATCAAAGTAATCAGAACATTTTTTCTTCATTTGCTGTTTTCAAACCTTAAAATTAGTGTCGCAATAGACTCGAACTCACATATTTCGAGAACTCCAGTATCGTTATATATCTTTCGGTCAAATATTAAATCATTTTACCCTACACATTATATATAAATATTTTTCTTCAAATGTAATATTGACTACTTTGTGTAAAGTGAAATACTATTGAACTAGAAATAATGGAAAAGAATAATTTATTTCAAAAGAAATGAATTTTAAGATCGTACAAATATTAGACAGATCTAATCAACAAGTCGTATATTTTTTCATAAAAGAGATTTTAATTAATAAAGCAAAAACAGAATAGTTTCGATGTTATTTTGAATCGGAAGAAAGTCTAGTAAAAGCTTGCAACTTTAAGATTGTCACTATTCAATTCTTATAGCTATAAATTATCAAGGTTAGCTCATTGTAATTGTATTCAGTTTGCAGAATTTTTTTTAATACAAATATCTTCATTTTATTTTCAAAAATATTTATTATTCTGAAGTAACTTTTCATTTTTTCGACAAATACTCTTTTATTTTAATTTCATTTGAATAATTTTTATTGTATTAAAACAATAGAAATAATTGATCTGAATGATTTAGTTATCGATGATATTATTTTTTTTATGCAGTAAATAGAACATCGGAGTGACATTGAGTATCCTATAGATAAAAAGGATTTTCTTGAAAAGAAAGGAATTGAGAATGAGCTCTTTCGGATCGTTTGTAAAAAAGAATTACTTTCTCAATAAAAAAAATTGATCTAAAACCAAATGATGCATTTAAACGCGCGAGTAGTATTCTTCTCGAAATTTTGTGCGTTGTACATGTAGTTTTCCTATCAGATTTTTTCATAGATGCCGTAATTTTGAATGCAACAATGTATCAGATAATAGTTGATTTGTTTAACAATCGGCAATATGAACAAAATTCTTGGTGATATAGAAAATAGGTTTTATTTTTTGGCAAAATGATATCTTGATATCTTTCCCAAGCAACAGCATAGTTCAAAAAATTCTAGATGGAACAAGCAGAATTCGAGACACGAAATATTGTAACTTATAGGACTCTTCCGTAACTCTTGATCTTCGAATTCTAATCTACATCACTCTTTGTTAAATAATTTTATACATGAGAAAAATGAAAATCACTCATCGTTTTCGAAAATGTGTTTAGTATACCTGTTTCTCTATATTGAACAGCTAAAAGTTGATGTTGTTTTATATATATTTTTTCTTCTATTTTAATAAGTCATGAATGTCGATCAAGTTCAATGGTCGATTATTTGTAGCCGAATGAAAGAAGATACTGTAAAGAATGATAAAAACAAAACAAATGCTTCACATGAAGGATAGTTATTTTATGATCTGAGAATCGATATTTTCTAGAAAAATGACCTGCAGTATTCTGTAGTTGGTTTCTTGCTTCAATAAAAAGAATTCACTGTGTTGTGCATGTTGGTTCGAATATGGATCGTTATCTTAGCCATACTCATCCTTGTAGCATACGTGTTGATATATTTCGTATGTCTCGTAAACGTATGAAGCAGCATATCAAATTCTTGAGACGGACTATTCATGCCAGAATGAGCTCAACATTATGTATTTGACGGTCACCATACATATTTGTCCATCTGAATGGTAACTGAAGTTGAAATGAATTGGCTTAAAATTCGTGCAAAGCCATTTAATATCGACAGACTGTAGCAACCATTTTCAATGTAACGACGAAATCCAATAGGATTGTTCTGCATGTGATGATAAAATCACTTACATTTTTCAAATTCTATCTCAACTGGTAATATTTTCTCACCTGACGATATGAATCTATTTTAAATCTCTTCTTATGAAAAATATTTTCGATAAATCTTGATCTGCCAGAAAAAAACGTTACAAGTGAAGCGCTATCATATTTTTTATACACCATGCCATCACAAAAACGCATTCAAATCTCTCTTTTTTTCAGAACAAGCATTTAAAGATATTTATTTTGAAAATTTTTGGCAACAAACACAGTTAATAAGAAATGATCTGGTCCATTCGAACGTTCACAAAAAAAAAACATAATTCATGAGGTAGAAACTGCACTGCAAACGAAACACAATCCCTAAGAATCTCTGCATTAGCTAAAGTTCTTCAAAGTACTTTTTGTCAATGATATCATGCAATTAGTTCATGTTTAATTCCAAAAAAATGAAATCGTTTTTACCAAGATCATCAGAGCCCTTGTTCTTCAAAATGTTGAAACAAGCTAATTCTAAAATCCTGTTGATGGATTCTCATAGAATCAGACATTTTAAAGTCTTTTAAAAGTTGTACTTTGGTACCATATACCTTTGTTTTTTTAAAGTGAATTTTTCTAGGAAAGTCCATAAAAGATGTTTGTTCATATTCATTAATTGTTTTTATTTTTCTTGTTGAGTCGGAACTGAGCACAGAAATCTATCTCTTTATCTATATTTTTTTATGCTCATATAAACACCAAACGTCAAATAACAGCGTTCAGATGTGTTTCTATTATGAAACATGCCTTCCAGATATTGAGGTAAACTCTTTGAATTAGTCTAATTAAATGTAGTCACACATTGAACATTTTCTAGATTAGGAAATTCCAGAAAATATCTGATCATCCTGTAAAAAATTTGTTTAAAGACATGTGAAGTTAAAAGAAAAAGAAAATTAGATTCTGCTTACAGGTATGAGTCGATCGGCTGAAGCGTCATCAACGATCTTACATTAATCAATGCAAATTGTCAGTATTGTCTAAAATAACTGTAGAAGTGCTCAATATGATGAGAAATATCATTGATTGAAAAGTTAATATCAAGTTATACAAGAATATAAAGGTCGATTAAAACATGATGTTAGAGATGCAATAAAAAAAAAACGTTCATTTACATCGAATCTCACCATAAAGAAAAACTTCTACATTTAACCAACGTGATGAAGACTTTCAACCATTATTAGCAAACGGAAATCACTCTAATAAGTAGTGGAATAGTACATAACTACATAGGACTACTCATTCGAACATTTTAATTGTCTCAGATACAGAAAAAATAATGAAACTCATCAATGATAATTTGACAAAATTTGTTGATGGTAACAAACGACTAGAAAATAAAGTTGATCAGTTACTATTAGGTTATTTGAAAACTGTTACTCTGGATGCTCAAGTACATCAAACAGTCTTAATCGATACCATCGCTAAAGATCAAACAGTTCTATTATCTGTGTCAGATGATAGACACAGTTAGAACTGTGAATGCATTCTTACAACAGTAGGAAAGTATTGAAATATTCTTGTCTCAAAGTCAAAAAGGATATATAGAGATTCTATGCTGTAATGTCGAAGATATTCATTTAATGTATAATTCTATTAAAAGAGTAACAAGAAAAATGAAAAGATGGGTATAGAAGAAGAAAATGATTTAAAAGTGACGCGCATCGAAATTAACATTCTGAAAACAACTGTTATTGATATAACAGGCCTCTAAGAACTCGTAAACATAATTAATACTTACTGGTGCACTAGTAACGTGAGTGACTCCATGAGTTATTTAATCTTTAACGTTGGAATAAATGGTATTGTGAGGAAACTCGAAAAAATAGTAAAATATTGAAAAGGATAAAGCTAGAAAATAAAATCAGGAAAATATTAACTTGAATTCTATTGATCATCGAAGATAGCACGGTTAGAAAGAGGGAGGACGTGAGAAACAAT